CAGGCACCTCTCCTGTAAATTGGCAGAGGGGCTCAGAAAGTGCTGGTCTCTTCCCCTCAGACACTGGTGAGGACTCAGCAAAAATTCAGCAGCAAAGTACACAAGCACCAGATCTCTGATTGGGCTGCAATTCTGAAACAAGCTCAGCTTTGTCAAGACCAGGAGCTTTCCGGAATATGCATGGGGATGAGGAACAAATAACGCTGGATGAGTGCTGCCTGACGCCGGGAACCCAGCTGACTGCCCCGGGCTATCTTATCCTCTTTTTCAGAACAAGAACATGGGGGACATGACACCAGCAGAGGAGATCGAGCTCAGGGATGCTCGCTGCCAGTTGTTTGAATCCAGCATGAGGAACGAAGCAAGAAGACTGAGGACCTTTTGGCAATGGCCAGGCACCTCGCCTGTGTCTGCCCAAGATTTGGTCAAGGCTGGCTTTTTCTTTGTGGGTCCAAGAGATGAAGTACAGTGTTTCTGCTGTGGTGGTGTCCTGAAGGACTGGGGACCTGGTGACTGCCCCATAGCAGAGCACCTGAAGTTCTTCCCTTCCTGTAAATTCATTTCTGGTGAGGATGTTGGGAACCAAGAGATGCTTCCTCTTCAGGAAATCTTTGACACTGTGGATGGGCAGTTCCTCAGTTTTTTGCAGGGGATAGACAGTGAGGAGACAGCCCTGCCCAACGAACCAGAGTACCCAGAGATGGTAACGGAGGAGATGAGACTATCTACGTTTCAGAACTGGCCGCAATATACTGATGTGCATCCTGAGCAACTGGCTAGAGCGGGGTTCTTTTACACAGGTAGGTATGCTGTTTGTAACTCTTATTCAAGTGAAGTTTTGAAGGTGTCACTATGTTTTATTGCTTGCACAAATATGTGCCAGTATGTGTAGTGTAGTTAGAAACCACATCCTTCCTTCAGCCTGCACTGTTTCACTTGGTGCTTGTGCAGAATTAGATTCTGTGTTAACTTCTGTTTTGGTACTGAGGGGTCTGCTAGTAATTCCCTTCCCAGTAGGAGCAGAAAAAGTGACATGTTTTAAACAAATGTCTTACTGGCAGAAAAGTGTGTGCTTTAACATCCATTGAGCCTATTTATTACTTGCCTCAAATCCTTTTAGAAGTGCACTTAGTTGGCATGTCGTGTTTTGTGTAACTGTCTTGCACTGAAGCCTTCTTCTCAAAAAAACAAATCTGAGTGACACCTGGAGGTAGTCAGCCCATTTGGCTATCACTGTGGCTTCTTGCTGTAAGGACCTTGGACTTGTAATACAGAAATAAAAAAGACACTTTTTTTTTTTGGAGGAAAATAGGCAATATTTCTTATCATATGCATGTGAATATCAAGATAACATCACTGTTTCCCCTGGAGAAGGCTTTGCTAGTTAGATAATAGGTTTGAAGAGGTAATTGTCCCTGGACTGACCAGTCAGAAGAAATATTTACAGTATGTTAATGCTTGACTGTAATTAAATATTGGGGGGGGGATCCTTCAGGTTTTTGAAAGCTAATAATATAGTGTTATTTCTGTGTTGCAAGTGTGACTTCTTCCATATGAAGGAATCAATTTGTTTTGTGTTTGCACATCAGACAGACAGAAGGAAGTGACAGGCAGGTCCATAAACTAAAGCTCCATTAGCAGAAACAAGTCTGTGCATCCTGAAGGCCTCATGCTATTGTTGAAGAAAAATTGAATTGCCTCTTTCTCCACTTATTTAAGTACTATTTCTTGGTAAAGATGGGAATGGGAAAAAACCCTCAGCCTTAAATGTTGTGATAGCTAGAAAAATCTGAGATGCAACACAGCGAATGATGTGCACGTAGGAAAGTCAGGTAATTGACCTTCTGTTCTTTTAGCTTGAGTTAGAGGAAGTGACTGGTTAGTTCGCTAGTATGTGTCTCTGCTTCTGCAAGATTTTCACTCAAACTGTGTGACCTGCATCTTGCTATAAATCCAGTTAATGCTATGAACCTGTACCCATCTACTTGAAGCACAGCAGCAGGTGCATGCCTGAGTGGCAGAGTATTACAGACACGTTAGCTTATCTGCTGCTTTTGTCTCTTTTTATTAATTTTTAAGGCACTGAAGACCATCATGGTCAGGAATAAACCATAAAGCGGTGTCTGCAGCTAAAACCTGTGTGTTTTGTGTTGGACTTGCTGCTTACAGAGCAGCTGAGAGCCCGGGACAGAGACTTACTGCGGGGACTCGTTAGGCAGCAGCAGTCTGATGTGGCACTCCTGCGGTCGCTGGAGCAGGAGAACTCGGGAACTGAGCACTCGAGTTAAGCCAGACAGTGCTTTGATATGACAGTGTTTGGAAGATCGTGCCTGTGACCTAAACTCACTGGCAGCCTTTACTGATGCCGTTTCGTTGCCCTTGGAGCAGGGCATTTGTAGGCAGTTCTTCTTAACTGTGTTTGGCTTTAATTTTTCTTTCCCTTGTGATTTCTGCAAAGAGAAGCATGGTAGCAGGATGGATGGGCTGGGACCATGTTGCAGCAAATTCTTACACCCATGAGATGGAATCTGTGTACATTGTCTGTGCCTGCTGCTGGTTATGGCAGATTGTGGCTAGGAAACAAAGCATGTTTATAGGTGTAAGTAATTGCAGCTCTACTCTAAATGCAGGCAAGAGGGGGTTGGATAGGTATGTGCATACACGGGAGCCATGGTGCTCGTGTGCATGCTGCCTGTTAGCTTGTGACCTAGTTCTGGAATGATCTCAACCAGCCGCAGCTCTGGGAGTTCAAACTCTCACCAGATTTCCTGCCCCAATACAACTCGCACAGTGTTGGTAAATTGTCATGTGCTCATCTGTTCCGTCCGCTATCCTGCGTTTTGTGCTGAATCTCTCCCCAGGTTCTCATTTGGAGCTATTGGAGCATACAGTATCTCAGTGTCAAATAATCTCTTGATGTCTTTTTCAGGACAAGATGATGTAGTGAGGTGTTTTTACTGTGATGGAGGTGTGAGGAACTGGTCGTTTGGACACGATCCTTGGAGAGAACATGCCAAATGGTATCCGGGGTAAGTCAGTCTTGGTTGACAGATATCTTTTGGTCTTGCTACAAGGGATGTGCTGTGCATTCCACACTGATCTTTCATAAGATAGAAGTACACCTAGTTGAGGGACAAATGAGTCACAGATGTACTAGTAATAAGTGCTGCTTCCAGGCTCTATGAGCTTAGTTCTAGATTTTTTTCTACCTAGCTAGAGCAGGTGAGAAGCCAGTCAGGTACGTTCAATCGTGTTTAACTGCGGAAACTGTTGCAATAGTCTGTAACCTTCTGGAAATCCTGAAATCTCAAGAGGAAGGTTCTGATTCCTCAAAGTTGCACAGCAAGGGACCATCTTCAGATCCTAGTAGTGGGTAGAAAACTTGTTTCTAGGTCTGTCACTTAGTCTGTACTGTCTTCCAAAAGTGCCTTCTTCCTACTCTCCCTTCACGTGTGGAAGAACCAAAGACTGACCTGAAAACCTAATAGTTGTATCTTCAACTGCCTGTCCTCTTCTGTTTCTCCCTTTCTTCCCTCCCCAAAATGTAGTTGATGCATGCCTGGTGTTCCTCTGCATGTTATCCCTTACAGTAGTTTGCTGACTTGAGGACAGTTGGCTTCAGTCCCTTTTAGGCTTCTTCTTGGGCACTGCTACATCTTCTATTCCAAAAGCTGATTAATCACTGGAGTGTTCTGTGTTAATTACAAAACCAACCGGATGATGGTTGTCTAAGCTGCACTAGTTTTTTAAAAACAACTGTACAAATACAAGTGAAAAAGCTTAAATATTTTAAACCCTCTCACTTTAAAAGCAAAATCAAATGTTCAAGCTCAGGTAGAGTGGCACAGTTCAGACCTGAGATTTTCTAATTTGACCTAGAGCTTACCATCTAAACGTTCAATTAAAATCACTTTCTTTGTCAAAGAACAGCTTTGGTTTCTACTCCTGAGGTACAAAAAGCAAGATATTGTAAAGCTTGTGTTTTCTGTAGCAGTTTCTGTGTAGTGGTCTATTATAACATTTTCTGTGATCTGTTCGAAGGACAGAGCTCATCTTGGGCCAAACATGAAGACTGAATTAAGGGTGGAGGGGGAAATCATGATCCTCTTATTGTTGCCCTTCATGCAAGGAGAGGGGGGGAAAAAGACCATGATACTCTGTCATTTTTAATGAATATAGCAGTTTGCTCGTAACCCTAAAGCACTCTTTGATTCTAAAATTCAAACTACTGCTACTTTCACTTGAGATCCCGTACTAATGTATTTAAATCTTTCTGCTTATAGGTGTGAATTTTTATTGCGGTCAAGGGGGAGAGAATTTGTTAGCAGTGTTCAGGAGTCTTTTTCAAGCACCCTGCTATCTCCAGTGAGTCATGAATCTTTTGTTTATGGTGGATGAGGGTTTGGTAGACGGGGGGAGTTTTGAACATGTGCTTCTCTCCTGACTGTCATCTTACATTTTTCAGAGAGATTCCTGGGATCAGACTGAAGCAGATTCCTCTGCTTCCCAAGGTCAGTGTTATAATTACATGCTGTTTTGTCTTCTACCCCACCTCAGCTACTGTGTACTCTGTAGACATAGTGTTTGTGAGATGCTTTGATGTTCTAGAAGCTTGAATATTGAATATAGAGAAACTATCTATATAACTAGATCAACATCCAGATTTACAGTTTTTACTTCCAATCAAAATTCACAAGTCATCAAAAGAAACTTCATAAAAGCAAAAAGACTAATGTTGAGTGGCTTATTCTACTGTATTAGTGAACCAAGTCTCCCATGTTTGGCCCCAGTCCAGAATCCTTATTTCTGTTTTCTCATCCCAGAACAGAAGTCTTGAAGCTGCTTTCATGAAGATCAAGTGGAACATTGAAGTCTCTCCTACCTCATAATCTGTCTCAACCATTTATCAGTAAAGGTGGAAGTGGGAAATTCAGCTGGCAGCCCCTTCAAAGGCTTAAATATCTCTTAAGCTCATCCTATCGGATAAGCTCCTCAAGAGAATGAGGAAAATGAGTTTTCCAGTTATGTGATTCAAATTCCACCTATTTAAATTTCCAGGAGCGATTGATGAATGGAAATAGATCCCCAGGATCAATGTGTTAATGAACAACTGGACCCTCTAGCTGTTCTCTGGTCTCCTGTCAAATAGGCTTAAAATGCTGTAGTCTGAAAGACTCCACAGACATCATCATCAAGAGCATGGACAAGTCAAAGGAAAGTTAGGCAAGCACCCTAAAGTCACATGATTATCCAGACTGGCTAAATGTCTCTGGTCTTGGAGGTCTCACCAGAGCAAGCAATTTTGTTTCTTGTGCTAGACTCTATTTCCTAAAAATAAAGGGACTTCAAGGTTCTACTTGATCATTATGAAAGCAGTTTCAAGACTTTTGGGATGAGAAAACAGAAATAAGGATTCTGGACTGGGGCCAAACATGGGAGACTTGGTTCACTGTTACAGTAGAATAAGCCACTCAAAATTAGTCTCTTTGCTTTTATGAAATTGCTTTTGACTTGTGAATTATGGTTGGAAATAAAAACTGTAAATCTGGATGTTGATCTAGCTATCTATATAGTTTGAGGAATGTTCTAGAAATACATTCATGTCATTCTTTCATATAACAGTGTGAGGGAGTGGCATACTTTGGCCTAAAGTTCTGCCTTTTTGGTAAAGTATCTGCTCACTGCTTTACAGATCCTTTGAGGAATTGGGAATTGCAGGCTCTTCCTTCTCTGGATCACTTTATCATAGTGCAGAATGTCCTACAGATGGGCTTTGACCCCAGCTGGGTGGTAAACCTGGTAGAGAATAAATACATGCTGACTGGGACTTTCTACCTTTCTGAGTCTGAACTGATTTCTGATCTGCTTCAGCCAGACTGGGGAGAGAGCAGCAGTGCAGAGGAAAGCAGAGGTATGCCTGACTCGCACACCCAGGTTCTTGGTGGATGTTTAACCTCTTAATTCACTTCATCTTGAGCACTGTTGTGAGTGTCTTGTGGGTCTGCCTTCTCTTCCTAGGCTGGAATTAAGAGTAGTAACGTACCCAAGCTTGCCTTTCTTTGAGAGGCTGAAGAATGAGGTTCTACTCTAAAGAAACCTGAAGGAGCTGTGATTACTGGGGCATCAGTAACTATATCTGCCTTCAATAGCCTATGGTGTAGATATTCTCAATATTTTCTGCTGACCTTACACCTGCAGTAGCAGACAGCTGCACAATGTGGAGGCTTGTGCACAAATTCACATCTGATGCAGAGGCAGTTGTCCAAAGCAAGGCTTGTAGGATGGATGAGTTCACCAAGCCTATTTAAGATTGAATCAATGGCTTGATCAGAAATAGCCATACTTGTTTGGTTAGATAAATATTATTCTCCTTAACTTACATTTGTTTTGTGTTATCTGTTTTGTGGAGTTTATTTGAAGATGCAGTTGCACACAGGCTTTTTCTGGTAGCAAGCCTGCTTTCCAAAGCTCCTGTCTTATATCATGGTCTACCATCACTTTAGCTAAGGCAAAAAAACCCCCAACCCTTCCACAAAATCGAAAGTGTGATTAAATAGTAGCAGAGGAGCAGGAATAAGCAGCTGATGGCTCCTGCTGTCGGATAGATAAACTGACTTTGAGGAGACAATGTGATGTGGACATGTCATGGTAGGGAGGTTAACATACACAATGATTGGGGCACCACAGAGAACACCAGCTTCACCAGGTGTGTGAAAGTAACAGCAGAGTAAACAGGTATTTGACCTAAGGCTACTGAAATCCAGGATACGTCATCTTTTTAAACAGCACTGTCTGAAGAGGGGGGAAAGGGGTTGCATTTAATGTAGTCTTCTTTCCTGGTTGTACAGATGCTGCTGGGAGAGAGACTGAAACATCAAGTTCAAGAGAAGAAATGCAGTCTGTGCAACAAAAGGAATCAGGTGCACGGGGCTGATGGTGGTGGTGACATTGAGACTAAGCATAATTGGAATGACTTTTATAGTTACGGTATCAGCGGTCACTGTATTCCTTCATTTTTAATCATGGAGGGGAATATGTGCTAGCTTGAACAGTAACTGAACATAGAGACCCTTATTCAGGAATTAGAGTTCCACTGTGAAGCAGACTTATACAAAAACTTGGTGTATTGGAGTAACTTAGTACAGTAAAAAGATGTTGATCTCGGTCCATGCTCAGTCCAGCATGTATCGATATGCTGAATCTTGTGTGATAAGCCAGTCTGTAATAGCTGTAGGTTTTCAGCTTAAATGAAATTTGCCTGCGAGGCACTTTTGCTACCTTTAGTCAGCCTCAGAGCAAAATGATGAGCAAGTTGCAGTGTGACTTCCTAAGATGATAGCGTTGGCACTCTGGAGCTGTTATAATACTAACAGTTTGGGCTTTTTCTTTTTCTTTGGTAAAGATGAGTCTCGGATGAGCACGGAAGAACAGCTTCGGCGCCTGCAAGAGCAAAGGATGTGCAAAGTGTGCATGGACAGAGATGTGTCTGTTGTGTTTGTTCCTTGTGGCCACCTGGTAGCTTGTGGAGAATGTGCCCTCAATTTGAGATTGTGTCCTATCTGCAGAGCGGTCATCCGGGGAAGTGTGAAGACTTTCATGTCCTGAACCGTGGTGTGCCTAAGGGGAAAGATAAGTCTATACAACTCATTCATAACACAGCAGAGGAAGAAAATAAGTAAATAGCTTGATGCTGGAGCAATCTTATTTGCAGGGTAGCTTGGCATAAGTGTAAAAGCTTACTAAATGTACCACCTATGCACAGTGTTTCTAGTAAGAGTTGCTGGTTTGCTGTACTCTTGCTGATCTTGCTGTGTAGGACTGCTCCAGAAAAACTCTACTAGTTTCTTTTGTCCTCCAAAAGAGGCTTTTGTTGACAGAGATTCTCCTTCTCCAAATTCTTGCATTCTCAAATAAATCCCTGCTCTGCTGAAATCAAGGGCTGTTCTCAGTGGGCTGTCTCTGGTTTAGAGATTATTCTGCTAGGGTTGATGGCTTCCTTCAGTAAGTCTGAGTCAAAATGGGAGTGTCTTTATACAAAACTTCAGTTGAGATGAGAATACTCTGCAGCAGTGTATCGGAGGGAGGGAGAATCTAGCTCTTTCTTCTGAGCTCTTGGCTGTCTTTCCCTGCCTCTTGTTGAATTGTCAACAATTGACAAAATGTTTCAGTAATACTCAAATCCACGTAATTAAGTGAAAAGCTTTTGTCCTGTTGTAGACTTTCCAACCTCTTTACTGTCAGCTGAGCTCCCTAGACAGGAGATGAAAAGCTCTTTGGTCAGGGTCACCAGATGATCTCATAGAAGCTTCTTATAGAGCCTCTTCCCTGGCTGTTGAGTACTATGCTACTAGAAGATACTGATGGAAACTTACCTTTTTAGGACTTCAGGTTGCTTGCTAAACTGATGATTCTTATTTTAAATGGAGCATTCTTATGTAGCCAGAAAGAGAAGTTTTGTTAATACTATGGCTTTTTAACTGCAGGGGACAAGAAATATGTTTTTTAAAATGCACTGTTCTTTTTTCACTGAATAAAAAGTTTCTTTTGTTTATCTTAGAGGTCTGAGTATCTGATTCTAGTATTATGCCCTGCTGGGGGAGGGGGTGTGATGGTGTCCTAAGATGTTAGAGTGGCATCAGGTTGTAGATCACTAACTTCTGTCCTTCAGTACTACATGGGTATGGGTGAGAGCAGCCACTGTTCTTATCATCCATTGGCTTCCTTTGGGATTCACAAGATGGCATGTGGGTCCTCCAGACTCTGAACTGCAAAAGAAGGGGTAAGGATGCAGGAGGATAAGGACCTGACACAGGAAGCTGTGCAAGTGGAGAATAATTCTGCATCTGATCTTACTGCAGAGTTTTGGTACGTGGCTCACATCTGTGGAGACTGGAGCACTGGCTCTGGATTTGCTTCTGTTTGGTTCCAGCCCTGGATACTGAACAGGCTTATAGGCTTGTCTCTGAGTAACCTTCAGGTGTCAGTTATCCTGGTCCATGTGGGAGGGTAGACCTTTTCCTTCATTCCTGCCTTCAGAAGAAGCTGATATTAATGCAGCTCTTGGCAAAAGTGAGAGAAATTACTAGTTGAGCAGTTTAAACTCTCCAACTCTTGGAGGAATTGGTGGGTCTTTGCCAGACAGCAGCTCTCACAGGGAACAGAATTGCACTGCTGTGCCAAATTAGGTGTTGTTTCTGGGTTCCAAGTGATCATTGGCTTTATTTTGCCTCTGTAAATAACAGCAAAAGCTTGCACTTTAAGTAGATGTGCTAATCCAAGAAGGGAAAACAAAACCAGCTCTGTATTGGAATAGTGTTATTTCCTTCTAAACTTTAGCTCAGTGTGGCTGGAACCTAGCCTGAACACGAACAGGACTAGAAGGCTGTAAATATACCAGCTCTTTCTGGGGCTTCTTTTATTTAACACTTTGAAAACTGTGTGGCTTTTCCACATCTGGAAGGGTGGAGCCATTTTTTCTATGGGAAGATGTCCCTTCAGAAACAGGTACACGTTGTTTGTTGACTAGCAGTATCTCAAGTGATGCCTAGCCCCAATAGAGGGCACTCCGAACCTGGAGATAGGGGAACCCACTAGAGCAAAACCTTTAGCTGCTCCTTTCTCCTACAGCACGTTGGAGATGCAAACAACTGGTAGTCCCTACGCTAACAGAACAGGGTCATTGCATGACTGTGCAGTACTTAGAGTAGGTCTAGCACAGGCAGGCCAGGAGGAATGGTTGTCAGAGTATGAAGGACGGATGGGTCTGCTAGTGAAAACTAGAGGAAGTAATTAAGTGTGGAATATGATCCTTGGTAGCTTGTCTTATTTTCTTCTTCTCAGACTGGTTTTTTTATTTATGGCAGTCATTGATACTAAATATTATAGGCTTACCTGAACCTTTATTTTATTTCTATTAAGATACTTAATTTGTTCATCATAACATAGGGTGATAGTTAATGAAGCTACTTGGTCATCACACTTTTACTGAATTGATCTTTACCAGTGTGTATTAAAGCCAAGACATATGCTGTTAAGTGCATAGTTTGATGGTTAGTCTTTTCAGAGTATTTGGCAAGTGGGTTTTGATCAGTTTTATTAGTAAATGTGGCATCAAGGCTTGGTCAGTTTGAGAGTGTTAAAAACAAATGATGAAGCTAACATCAAAGCAGCAACTGTCAGCTGTCTGTTCTGTTCAGTCAGAAGCTGCGGCTTCTGTGGGCTAAAAGAAGGAAAAATACCTATAGAAGACAATGTTTTTACTTGCAGCTGCACCTGATCAGAACTCAGGATGTGAGGGTGCAGTGGGTATCTGGAGTAGACGTTGCACAGAAACAAAAGATGTTCTCTTAGTGCTTGTACTTCTGGGTTTATAGAAGAGAATTTTGCTTCCTGGGCCCTTTGGAACAGGACAAAGTAAGGTGCATCATTCTGTCTTTGATTTAGCACTTAATGTTTTTATTTCTTTTTAATTCTTCTCTCTCACTTTCCCTTCCCTAGCATGGCTTCTAGCTTGACTCTTCTGAAAAGCATTACTCAAAAATGCCAAGTAATCTCAAACAGATTAGGCAAGACAATAAAGAATTATTGTCTTGGAACGTACCAGCCACGGATGGCTGACAAGTGCTTTCTCTGCTTGACACTTAACATGCTGGGAGATGTCGCTAACAAAACTGACATTGTGTTTTGTTTGTTTTTTTTAATGAATTGCTGCAGCTCATTAATGCAACTTAATTACACTTATATTCCCCATTTCCTTCAGCCCATTGCTTCCCCTCAAAATGATCCTGTCACAAAAAACCCTTCCATCGGGATGTTGTCAGGCTTGTGCCTGGAATAAACATGGCTGCTTGGTGGAGAAGGCAGGTACAAAAACATCTGTGATCAATGAAACATTTTCCAGTGTCCTGCAGCAGGTTTCAGCTGTGGTATATGGTTACACTGGTGTTAATTTAATGTAGATGGGCAAACCCAGAGTAAGCTGTAGCTGCTCTGGGAATAGCTTGGCATGTTGAAATGGGGCTAAGCTCTGTGCTGAGTAAAGATTTGGTGCTTGTACTAGTTTTTTAGCTGTTCAGCATTATAGGAGTTAGGTCACAGAACATTGAAATCCAGGACAAATGCCTACTGCTAAGGTGCAGACCATGTCTAAAGAATGAGGAAGGGAGTCCTGAATATAGGGGGGGTGGAAGAAGGGATGAGCTGTCATCTATAACTTAAAAAAAAAAGGAAGAAAAAAAGCCTAAATAATTCAAATGTAAATAGCCCCCACCTAGTTCTATATAGGCAGGGAGGAGATGAGGTTGTGTTAGGGGATTTAGGCTCTTTTCAGAACAAGGGAAAGGAGAAGGGGAAGAGGCTAACTACACATCGTGAAATGTCCTGGGGTGTTACGCAGTGCTTCCTTCTTTCTGGATCCATGGCACAAGGAAGCAGCTCCAACTTCAACTGTATCTCTTGAGTGAGGCTCTCGGTGAACGTGGTCTGCCCAAGGTCTTCAGGCCTGTGCGGTTTATTGGCTGGTACCACCAGACTATGGTAGGAATGGTTCATCAGGGCACTTGGCGAATTAAAAACCAACCGCGTGGCCATTCTTCAACGTACATTCATTGCATTTGAAAAGACAAGGAACAAAAAATGGAATGGAGTTCACCATCCTGCATTTCCTCTGCCAAAATTCCAGGCCACAGGCGATTGTTTCCTGCAGCACCTTTGATGGTAGAGTGCAAGGTTTATCCATCCTCTGGCTCCTCTTCACTTACGCAGGCCTGTAGGGGGGGGGAAAGTGAAGGCAGGGCATCAATGTGGAGCAAGTACTAAGTTGCTTACTTAAGATGACAGAATTGGTGTGGAAATAATTGGCTTTGGTTTTTTTTCCTGTTCTGGGTTTTTAAATATGATTGACTACAGATGAGGACTAGGATTGAAAGCTCAGAAGTAATGTGGTTAAGTAGTCTTCAAGTCTGGAAAGAATGCTATGTGTATACCAGACCTGAATATGCTGCAGTTAGACTAAGGAACAGCTATGAGCCAAAGTGTTAGATCTAGGTATCCTCAGCATTTGGAGCTGCATAAAAATTTAGTTAGGAATTTAAAAAGCTAGGGGTCATCTCTAGAATAAAGTAGCTTATTGAAATTGCAGTGATGTGCTTTTTGTGTAGATGCAGCAGTATAAGCAGATCTACTGTTGTAGCAGTAAAGATGAGCAAATGTTTTCAGCTGAAACATCACCTCTTAAACATGCAGCTTCAGGTTGATAAAAACAGTTTGCAAATTCATGTTGATATTCAGCAAATTGTTTGTTTGGGAAAAAGTCTACCTAGAAAGAAAAGCAGAAGCATTTTGTGGTTTTTCTCTCCTGAAAGCAAAGTGGATGGTTGTTTTTTTTCCTAAGTAAGTTTCCTTTGTAAAGTATTCTGGTCATCAAACAAAGTTTAGAGGGAGTGGGGAGGGAAATCAATCCTAAAGGAGTTTCCTCCCTTTCCTCCCCCAGTGTTTCAATCTGGATTTTGATTTTTTTTTTAATTGAATAATGTTATTTGTGTACTTGTACCTGTCAGTTGATCTACTGAAGAACCTACTTTCAACCTGTAAGTGGGTGACTGTTACATGTGGTCTAGTCCTTTAAGCTGCATGCTCATAGCTGCTTCATGCCCATGGCTGGCAGACAGTCTGCACCACAAAAGAATTGATTAGGGAGTGTTAAAGTGAGCAATTACCAAGTGGAGCCTTAGATCATTCAATTAACCAATACCTCCTGTTGCTCCCATGTCAATACTGAAGTCTACATCTGATAAAAGTCACACCCTAGGTTACCCTATGGCCCTTGCCGTGGCAGATTTGAGGAAAACAGTCCAGTGCAATCTGGCTACACAACTAAAATCAAATTAAAGGTCTTAAGTCATTAATGTAGTACTTGGGGTGCCAGATAACAGTGAGTGTTATGCACAAGAGCCTTACAACTGTGCAATTAACTGCTTTGCCTTATAAATACACTCTTAAAAGTCAGGGAGATCTATTGCCCATCTCTTTACCTTTTAAATAAATAGAGGCTACCTCCTGTCATCTGGCAGGTTCTTGATTTAGCACTTAAATCACGTACAAAATCATGCTTTGAGACTATTCTGCTTTATAATTGAGACTGCACTGTGCTACTTTCTGAAACAAATTCAAAGAATGATGCCAAAAGACTGGATGGATGCAGCAGGCAGGAGGTGCTCACAAATGACATGATGAGCTGGGCCTCCTCCTGTCTTGGCAGGTGTTGCAGGGTGCTGGGAGATAAGGGCTTTAGGTGGAAACTTCAAAGCTGTCTTGGTTAACCCTTCCACAGTTACCAGTGCAAGAATGCTTCCTTGCTGAACAAAAGCAACCTGGAGCTGATGACCTGCCTGTGCAGCCTAAGAGGAGACAGTGGTGCAAGCAAGCACAGCCTGAATGTGAGTGTTAGCTAAGGAGGGGCAAGAGCTCAGCCTTTCCTTCCTGAAAACTTCTTGGAAATGTTCTCTTTTGCCTTAGGATAACTTTGGTTTTCAAGAACTGATTTATTATCCTTTGGCTAAGTACTTTGACCCAGAAACTCATGCACTGAAGACTTTAACATACCTTCTATCAAGATTCCCAATATATTATTGTTAAATAATTAGAACAGTGCCTTGATTGGTAAGCAGCAGTGAGATTAAGGGTAAATCTATTACATAGAAAAACTTCCAGAACAATTTTATCATGATAATGTGAGTGTCTCTTACTTAAGCTTGTGACTTGAGATAGGAACTATCACAACCAAAACCCCCTAGAGTCAATGAAATGTAGAACAGGAGCAGTTGTTGAACCTGGAATAGAAATAACTGTATTTGTATAGAACATCATTGTTGCTGTGTGAGTGTTGGAGGTGCTAATTAAGATGGAGCACACTTAAACCATGCTTTTGTAAAAATCATGCCTTTTTAAGCAACAGTACAAAACTGTTGGTTGATTTTTATTTTTTTTTTGGTGGTGGTGGTAGTTGGCTCTTTTAAAAAAAGAAAAATAACACCTGGCTGTTGATAACTTGTGAGGTTTTCCACTAACTGGGGACTTGCAAATGATGTCAAGGAGGCCAGTAGATTACCATGATAAAGCTGGGAGATAACTGGATTGTGGTCTGGAAGTACCTATTATCAGTAATCATTTTCTTCCTGGTAGGAGGCAGAGGTATTTAAGAACTTTTTTCAGTGCAGTGGATGGAAGCTGAAGGCCAGAAATGTGTACGTTTTGAATTCTGAATTTAGCAGCTGATAACCACTGAAGTAGGCTGCCAAGGAAAGCAGCAGTTTCCCTTTAATAACTTTTAATATGCTGTCACAGTTCAAAGATATCTAACTCATAGACTACATGCTTGTTACAGACATTATGGCAGTTTGTCTTGGACTTAAGCTATGCTCATTGGTTGAGGTCAATGTCATTGTTCTGTGGGGCCTTCAGATCTATGAAAAATCATAAATTTAGAGAGATGGAGAAGAGAGACCAGGGAAAAATGTAAGCTAGGACAAGGGAAAGGGTACATTGGAAGGACAGGAAAGAGGGGGATCTCATCAGAAAAGGCTAGATAAAACTGGAGTGAATAGGATAATTCCATTAAGGAATGAAGGAAAGTGATCCTGTTAGAGTTGTGGCAACAGGGGAAGTGCATTATCACGAGAGCAGCTGACAACTGACAATGGGGTGATACTGTTCTAAAATGAAAGTTCGTGGTTGTGGTTAGCTCCAAGTCAGTAGTTGAATAGATTTGGTTTCATTCAGCATTTTCTTCAACAAAAAGGAGTTAAAACCAGAAAGTATGTGTTCCTGACTCCTAGCTGTTCTATAAATTTGAACTTGGATGAAAATGAAGTTGGAGGTATGTGTTGCTTTGCATCTTCTTAAACAGGATGTAAAAAAGAAAATGCCTTCGGTCATCATGAAATGATATTTGCAGCAGGACAAAGGCATCTGGCACTCGGTGCCCCAGACTGCAAAACTCCAAGTATCTGTTCTTCTTCTTACTCCCATTCATAATGCGGGAGAAAGATGAGAGCTAGGTGAAATAAATAAACAAAAATTGCTATTTGGTTGCTGCTGTGAAATTTGTAGAGGGTCACCCTATCTACTGCTCAGCAGCTGTTTTCACCTCCCATTAGCCAGAAAGAAATATTACATTGTGCTGGCAGAGGCTATCAATAGATAAGTGATGGTTTGAAGAATGGTAATGAAGAACAACAAAATTATCTGTGTACTTCATTAGTAGCTTACCATCTTACTGAGACCCTTGTAAGGAAGTTTGACAATGCTAGCTTCTATTCATATTACAATCTCCCCATATGAAAAGTTTTCTATAAGTAGTAGCTTCTTTCACAAACAGAATTTGTCATTTTAAGGAAAAAACAGCCCAAACCCCATATAGTAAAAGTGTGATGTTTCTTCAGCACGCTGCTGTATCCAGCCAGTAAATCAGGGAGCTGCTTAAATCTCCACAGCTTCTGCAGACTGTGGAAAATTCCATCCCACTGTGACAAAATGAGAGGGAAATCAATATTTAATCTCCTGTAGCATCCCTTCTAATAATGCTATAGAACACCCAAAGTTACAGAGAATTTAATTGCTTTGCAAAAATTACTTGTTCTCCTGGTCTTGTGCTGCAGTGACAAAGTGGGTAGTAAGTCCATGCTACATTATAGGTGCACATCTACAAATCTATTTGGGGGCAGTTTTTCTTCCCCCATCCTCACATCCTTCTTTTTGGCAGGACTCTCTAGTAACATTATTCCCAAAAAAACAATCTCCAGTAGCTGTTGTTTTAAAAAAATTCTGCATGTTGAGCTGCCTTCTTGCAACTTGATTTAAGGAGTATCAAAAAGTCAGATCTTATTGCTGCTGTAAATGGATAATACTGGCCTTTATGCCTGAGAATCTCATTAAGAACCAGCTTTTAAGTGGACTGTGTGAAAGTGTGATCTGCCTTCAGCAGTGGGAAGGGATTATCAGAGGGCAGAAGCTGGAATTCAACAATGGATCTCTATTAGCGATGTGAGAGGAGCTGCTGTGGACAACTCCCCTTTCTGCTCCCTGCTCTCAGCTGAACTCTTGAGCTGCCCCACACATAGAAGCCTCTGTTCTTGTAGGCAACAGAATTTAAAAAAAAAAAAAAAAGTGAAACCTTAAGAGCAAACCTGTACCATCCTGCATACAAACCATCTAATGCTTGGTTTGATTTAATTCACTGGTGCGTTAGCTTTGTACCCTGCAGGTTCCCTAGAAGTACACACAGATACAGGGGGACCCTGTACCTAAGGCAGAGTGAAGTTTTGGGGTGCTACCTTGAGGAGATTATTGGAGGATGACGCAGCCATGACCAGTGATCAAAATTGCATGGATTGGTCAGATATGACAGTCTGTCCACAGAGCTAAAATACAGCTTAAATAGCTACATGTTGCATAAATTTTACCCCAGTAGAGATCTGTCGTTGAGGCTCAGCCTGACAGACCACAGTTTAACCTTGAGATTGAGACTCATATTCTGCTATTGCTATGGCTGACTCTCAGCATCCACTGAGGCTGACTCTTCCTTCCCCACAGCTCCTACCTTTACCTGCTTGGGCACTATTTGCTGCTGAAAAGCCTCTCTTTGCTTTCTTCAAGGAAAAGCTATCCAATAGTTTGTTTATAACAACATCCTACAGCTGGCCCCACTGCTTCCTATCAGACAGCACTGCCATGAGCCAAGTATAGCAACACCAGCTCCACCCTGGCAACCTGGGGCTAAGCAGAGGCAGTTTCACCCCTTCTTGTGTCTACTTGTTCATTCTTTCCATGTCTGAAAAGCCTGCTGGAGAAATTAACCTGCAAGGAGGGAGAAAAAACCCCAAACCTGTGGCACCCTTGAACCATCAAACTAAGAGGAATTGCATAGCCTCTTAGCACAGGAGATGATACTTACAGGTATGTCTGCTTGAACAAAAGGTTGGTGGGTTTTTCATTGACATGGTAGAGAGGAAATGGATCAAATCCACCAATGAAATCAACTGAAAAAAAATCGAAACTCAAATAAATAAACAAACATGGCCAGAAAGTTGAAAGGAAATGAAAGAGAAAGTTGGTGCATGTCATGACATAACACAAAAATTAATGAGTGAACAGAAAAATGGTTTTTCAGGTATGGATTGCCTGGTGGAAATCTCTGTCTGTACAGACTGCTTTTCCAGGATCTCCTGGGATGGGCAAGTGTGCCAAGGAAGAGATTCAGCTAACGCAAGACTGAAAGCATAGAGCTAATAAAAGACTCCAGAAAAACAAGAGGGCGTCCCGCAGCCTCCTTGAGTATTTCCACCGTGCGGTGACTTCACGTGAGAACTGAGCTGACAAAGCCTCAGCCATTCAGCGACCTGCTGAAAGAAGGAAGCTGAGGAACGGCTTGTGAGTGGATGCCAGCAGAGAAGTTGGCAGCACAGCAATCCCCGTGAAGGTTATATAGTGAAGTGGGAAATTTCTTGCCCCACTTGTCTTTCCTGCTAGACAGACAACAGCAGCTTTGCAAAACTGCAAATACCTCATTATCTTCAGCTCTGATATTTTTCATGTCCCCTCTGCCAACTCAATTTCTTTTCATTTTATACAGATAGGAACAATGCTTCCCTTCTCCAGTATTCACATAAGGGCAATGTAACTAAACAAGGAAAGTTTTAAATGACAATTCCCTTAGTAACCATAGAAGAATTTTCCAAGTCTCTCTTAGTTCCCCTGAAATTAGGCCAAGTCTATATTACTGAGCTGGCCAACGCAGCCAGGTCAGTAGGGGTATGATGTGGTGTGATTTGTGACTGACCTAGCAGGCCTTGCAAAAACCTTTAAAATAGATCCAGCTTAGACCACTGTTTGGTGCCACCTTAGTGCATTGTGTTTGGAAGTGTGAAAGTTATCTGGTCCAAGTGCCATTTAAAAATAACTGGAGAGTCTTATTAACTCTATAAATACCTGCTTATTTTTCTTTCCTGAAGGTGGCACTATTATTTTAAATTTTAGCTAAAGAGTTTTGGTATTTTTTTAGTGAACAAACAATAGAAAAAATATTTACTAAATATATTGGAGGTGGAAAAAAAAAACCCCTCTTAAAATATATTTAGAAACCCAAGGACAATGTATTCTCACAAATTCCATCTTGATGGATAACTTCATGCTGATACTGTGATTATAGAACAACTGTCAGTTAATGAGTGAAATCTGTAGAGGTTCTAAGTTAATTGGGGGGATAATTCCCAGTAGTTTCAGAGAGACTTGACCTTTTCTCAGCCACTTTTGAAAATGTCTGAGTATTTTAAAATCAAGACAGTTTGCAGTTTTGAAAAACAAGATACTAACTATATTACCTCAGTTGTAGAATGTCTAAATTAGGAAACCGTAAAGAATTGCAATTTTCAGTAACTGTCTAGTACCTTGAACAAACAAAAGTCCTGTAATCTGAGCACCTAACTATAGAAGTACTCAAAATCTAAGTCACTTAAAAAATCTTAACTGTGGTTCATTGTTGCAATATATTACAGTGTATTAGCACATCTAAAATATTCTTGCCCACAATTCAGCATTAGAAGATCCCTACTGCTGTGTTTTCTCATGAAAATCACGTTAGCATGAGCTTCCTGATTAATGTGCCTCAGCACTTATAATTACTTCATGCTGCATATCAAAGCAACATTTAAAGGAAATCACAAATGGAAGAGAAAATTAAAACGCAGCTCAAATTTGTTCGGGTCAGTGGAGGGATCTACCACTGTGAGTGTGAAATATTGATGGTTTGTCATTGTTAATTATTCAAGCTGGCATTTTAACTCCCAAGCTGGGAAACTGGGAGAGAAAAGGAATTTGTTAGTGGGGAAAAAAAACCCCCAACATATCCTGAAATTAACAGCTCTGTGTTTCTAGATAATACTTCCTTCCATGTGGTTGCCTCTCCCAACAGATCTGTACTAAAAAAAATGAGCTCTGTCAAGTTATTACTTTACAACATTCAAAGGGGGCTCAGAACTCAAGCTATTTAGCTAATAGAAGAGCTATAGGGTAATTTTTAAAGTATTACTTATAATGTAGCACTTCCACTAAGTGCACTGCCAAGCTCTAAACAAATGATCAATAAAGTTGGTAGAATGAGTTCAGCCTCACAGGAAGCAACAGAAAAACATGAGGACAAGTCAGATAAGCAATGCATCTCATCTCACTCCTATGAAATCAACATCCTTCATGTACTTTCAAATATTCAGTTCAAAGCTGTTGTTTTTCAGCTGAAATCCATGCCAGCTGCTCTTCAAAACAACAAAGCTACTTGCACAAACCTAATGAACATCTTAAAGAAGTGATACTTGGATATAAAACCTTTGGATCAGACAAATACCTGGAGTAAACTGGCCTAGACCCAACACATTGCCAAAGAAATCAAACTTCACATTTATTTGAACCCTATGCATCCATTCTCTTGTTTGCAAAATGATTGGTCTCAAAGGGAGTTTTAGAAGGGCAAAGTAATCCAGGACCAGGTTATGGATATTTGCATAGATCCCACAGACCCAAGAGATTCCTCTGATTCTTTGCTCTTGTCTAACATGTCATAGTCAATGCATGACATGATGCTTAAGAGATTTGTATACCAAACATGAGGGAGTTAGCTCCTTCCTCCTCCTTGTAATTCAGATGCAGTACTTCCTCTGTTTTTAAGTTAAGTGGTCAGGTTGGTCCTTGGCAAGAAATCTTATGCTGTGCTTCATCCTCAGCTTGTGGCGTGTGATACTCAGCAGGTGACCTACTCGAGTACTGCGCTGTATTCTTTGTTGTAAGGACTCTTAAATTACAACGGTAATATTTCAGTAGTATTATTCTTAAGCTGTCTAAGCTTGAGAACAGAAGAAGTTACCCAGTTTCTCTAAAGCTTTGTCTAAGTAAGTGAGAAGCCAAAACGTTTTGTGTTGAAAGGGTAGCAGAATTACAGCATCGAACACATAGTGACACGGGGGAAAAAACCTCAGTAAAAATAGCTGATCCCTGAAAGGTAGGTAGTGCCCTATGATATAGATGGAGAGATGGAAAGAAGTCTGATGACAACTCAATCCTGATAGACAAACATCTGAGAAAGAAATAAAATTTAATAAAACCTTTGCCAAAGGATCTGTTGATAAATACTTACAGCTGTCTTCTTCTTCTGTAAAAACACTAACAACGTAACAGGCGTAGACAAAGCCCACCAGCTGGAAAATAGAGAATAAATCATTTTAGCATCAATCTTGTGAGACTGGTCGAAACCCACTTGGCACAACTTCAACATCCAATATTTACTGTCGACTTGGCAGCATTACTGTAATGGTGGAGCCAAGTCATATTTGCTGTAAGGTAGGGAATGCAGGTGTAGGCTTAAGGGAAGACACTGCTGGGAGCATGCTCAAAGGTCCAAACTAAAAACTTGCAGGACCCATCCTCACCTTCAAAGTAGCAGCCTGCTCTTGCTAGAATGATTGGCAAGAACATGGGCTCATTTTGTGACATTGGAAGTACCGGGATAAGTTTACTCTCTGTAAGAAGTGATGAGGATGCAGGAGAGTGATGGATGGCTGCATAACGGACAGAAATACAGGTGTAGGTTTTATTAACAGAGGTGCAGGGACAAGAAATCATCAGTTCTGAATTCCTGTCATAAGGGTTATGCAAAGGAAGACAAATTACTTTGGTGCAGGAACTACCAAGAAGGTGCAAGTAATTTTTATGCAGATGAGAGAGAAATTTAGCTAACCATAAAACTGGTGATGCCAGCGATGATCAGAGACACTGAAATCTTTAGTAACTTTGGCTTGGAGATCAAAAATTCATTGGAAAGAAATCCCAGTCTTACTCTAGATCTACAGTTTGTAAGGTTCTTTCTATCTTTAGAGAGTAAACACTTCTGCATGAGCTAATCAAGCATTGGGCCTGCAAGGTAAATGGGCCAGAGCACAGTGAGAAACAGACAAGATGACAGCAGTGGTCTTAATTCACAAATTGCATAGGTTAGCAGTAAATTGCTGCCTCCTGGGAACCAAACAGAAGCAGGGGAGCAGCAGTAAAACAATAGGGTGCCTCTCAAGTAACAGCCATCCTGGCATGGCATGGCCCTCATGTCAACCCATTGCTCAGAGCAGTCTTTAGAGCAGAAAACTAGAGTGAGCATTAGAAAAATAAATTTAAAGTAGCCTGGTGGGTCTGTCCTTAGTTGGTGGTTTGTAGAAGCTCTAAAGCATCAGAACTGCTTCATTCCATTTCACTAGCAAGTTGTTACTCAGTCTGAATAGAGAAACAAACTACTGGTACTACCAGAGTTAAGCATACTAGATCCAGCAGGCGTTTATTTTGCTTTGCCTTCTTCCTGTTAATCAAATATCCTCTCCATCCTTCATTTTACATCTTTACGTAACACCCCACTTAGCGAGATCTTGGTTGACAGTAACTGTATTAGTAAAGTTATTGCGAGACATAATTGTTTTCCTCTGTGAACTCGATTCTTTTCAACAAGAGTTAGACTGTAACGTGCAGTGACTCACTCTAAGGGAAGACAGAATGATGCATGGTAGGGCTTGAAAAGTAGAGTCCATTCATTTTTAATATGACAGAAAAATACATCATACCAGAAAACAAAAGGCAAGATAATGAGATTTCTACTGGAGAATTATAAGGCATTTGTGATTTCTCCAGCTCTCCTTACAAAGCAGACCTTGTTGGAAGGAAATGGAATGCTTTTGTAGCATCACTAAACCTTGTATTTCCTTTACAATTTTGTACAATCATCTGAAAGACAAGCCAGCTCTCTCCTCTGCTCTTGGGTAAGCCTTACGGAAGCACGTCCTGGTACCTCAGTGGAGCAGAAGTAGCTCTGTGGACTCTCTCATTCCCCTGCTGTGCATTTTTGAAACCAGGGCTGCTTCATACTAAGTTTCTATGAGCTAAAGTGGACTTCACACAGGAAAAAGAGAAAAAAAAAAAGCCTTCCAGGTGTGATGCTGACTGCGAGACCACGTGCAACGGCCAATCTAATTTTACCTGCTGACTTTTAGAATTGCCTCTGCGTAGAACCATTGCTTTTTAAAGGCAGACAAAAAAATCAAAGCAAAACAAACAAGAAAATCAAACAAAAAAAAATCAGAATAATCAGAGATTTTTCCTTCTCTTCTATTGCTTGTACTGTGCTAACATAAATCCCGGGGAACTTTCCCCCCTCCCGGAGTTTGAGGTGGGTTTGGGCAGGTTCGGTGGCCGGGCAGGAGGGCTGCGGCCCCGGCCCAGGAACTGGCCGTGGTGCTGACGCAACCCCCGCGGCTGCACCCCGTTGCCTTGCGTCATAAGTGGGCTTGGCTGGGAAATCGGCAGTTAGCGCCCATCAGCTGGGCTGTGGTAGCTAACGACCTCAACGCTTATAGATGTTTTTGGAAAACCAGGGTGCTTCAGATTAAAGCGTCCCAGCATTCAATGAGATGTCTAACCACCCACCTGCACACTCTGCCCTACAACAGAAGTGCATTTGCACTTGCCCTAGGATAGAATTAGGATCAAATGTGTGGTCACACACACTCTTTGTACTTGCTTTAGCATTTTTATAGTTTAAAGATCTAGTCTTTTACATTTTACAGGACAAAAGGTCAAATAATGCAATTTACATACACACGAATATCCAAGCAGGAAAAATGCATCTGGAATGTGTGCCCAGATTCCAAGAAAACTCTAGGAGTATTTTCTCTTCCCCAGATTTTCCACCATGCCTCAGAGTAGGAACGCTGGGTCAATAGCCATGCAAAGTGGCAGCCCTAAATCCATTCAGTGTTATTATACCCTGTAACATGTACAAACAAAGCTTGTGTGATATCTGTCTCTGAGAACTCCTGATAGTATTACAAGGAAAATTACTTATCTGCCCAGTTTATGGGCAGAGTGCATGAATGATTATCAGCCATACTGTCAAAGGGAACCTGTTAAACCTCTGAAAATTGTTCACGGTTCAGAAGCACCAAGCAAGCAGTAAGATTGTCTTGGGAAGTTTGTTTTGCACAGAAATTAATGCCTCATAACCCTGAACCATCATTCCTCTCACCCCATACATTTTTCCTTTTATGACTAAGGTGATCTTTTGCATTCAGAAAAAAAACAAACCAACCAACAGCTAGTGAATTAAGTGAACTTCCCTAACTCTCTAATTCCAGCTCTATTAGAATGGAGGGTTTTCTTTTTTATTTCTTGTGTCTCCTGGCTTTGTTTCAAAATTGCCTGTTTAGTGTTTAAAATTCACTTTTTATTGACTTTATAATCCCTTCCTTCTTTATGAGTTTCATCAATAAAAAAATTGTTTAATTAATGGCACTTTTTATTCAAAGAAGTTTTGCTAGTCTTGTGACCTGGCCAGAACAGGAGAGTTTCAGTGGCAAGGAAGGTAGAGACGTACAATGTAAACATGAATTGCATTTTTATATGGGCTGACCTAAGCTATAATTAAATATATCACCTCAGGGAAGAAATTAACTCCTGGGACTCCCCATGATTCACCTTCTGCATGAATTATGAATATAGCTACAGAGGAGAAATGCCACCCCTATTGCCCAGTCCTTTTCACTGGAAGAGTCTGTTAGAATCTGCGATGAGCAGAGTCCAAGAGACACAAACCTTCTGGCTCATCCCTGATGAAGATGCATCAAGCCCCCAAACATCACCAAGTTTGGCAGCAATTAACATGGAACAGAAAGCTTCACAGAGGCCAAGGGTTTGGAAGTAATTTCACTCTTGCTCAAAGTGCCAGCTTGGTTGCCAATTTCAATACGAAAGAGGGTTTTAAGCTCTACTGTCCCAGGGAAACAGCAAGAATTCTTAGATCTTTGCAAATTATGTAGGGGAGGTTGAAGAGAAGGGAAAACGTCAGTGATGTAAAATGACACTAAGCTATTGCGCTAATTCCCCAAAGAATGTTCCTGGGCTTTAGCCTCTGCTGCTGTTTCTCTACTTGTTCTGCATGTTCAGTACCAGCTTCCTCCAGGCTGCAGAAGTATCCGATTAAGCTTTTTTTATTAGGAACACATGTTGTAGGCAGGTGTGTTCAGTCAGCCTGTCAGACAGCCTGGGAATGCACATGCTGCCGAACAAAAGAGGATGGAGTTGGGATGTCCCAAGCATTCTGCAGGCAAGTGAACAGAGCAGGAGAGAGAGGAAGAAACAAGTGTGCCCAAAGGGAGTGAGGAAAATATAAATCTGTACATCCCTCTGCCTCTCAGGAATCAATTAACTTTTTAATAGTGAGTTGAAAATTGTTCACAAACCAGGAGCATTGAACTAAAGTATTGGAGCTGGAAAGACTGAGTTACAGCAAGATCTACAGAAAGGGACTAGCTGGCTGCAAGCATGCAAAATACATGAAGAATGGGAAGGCAAATTTTAGGTGGTGTTACTGTTGCTTTTGTAAAATCTTAGCTTTAGTCTGCATCTGTACTAGTGAAGATTCTGGGCTCTTCAACAATTCTCTCAACAGAAAAACTTGCCATCATTTTTTCCACCACAGAGAACACGTTCAGAGTCTCCTCCTTCAGGGCAGATGTATTCTAGGTCTCACTTCTAATCAGAGCTAATGAAGTGTGTATGCTCTCATCAGTGAGAGAGGGAAAATGAAGAGGTCTGTGCTACAAGAAAGCAAAAAGCCAGCTTGTGAAAGAAAGAACCATTGTGACCAGATAGCCAAAAAGAGGCAATCAAAATCCTTTGATTCCTTGACCTTCTTTACTCTTTGGATGCAATTACGACCACTGAAAGCCTAGCTTCTGCCGACAGCAAAGCATCTCTTGTACGTTGCTTCTCACATAACATCTGCTGTCAAGGCTTGCATTGCCGCCTTCCTGGGAACCTTCCAACCTGTCAGTCTGAGTGAAAACAGCAGACAGGCAGGCAGTGAGTTCTCTCGGTTGGGAAGACATTTCTAATTTCCATCCCATTCAGTGGAGCCTCAGGAAAAGCCTAACCCTCCCCACTCCCAGAACTACCATATGGACAGCCCAGAGCTATGCCAGGTATTTCAGAACTAGAAATCACTCCCTTCCCTGCTGGCTAGCAAATTGGGGAGATGCAAGAATAATCCTTGCTAAGATAAAAACAAAGCTGATTTCTTAACAAACTAGTTGCTGTTGCATTTCCTAATTGGGTTGGTACTAGTTCTACAGCGACATTTCTATACCAGTACAGACTTTAAGATGTTGTTACAATAAGTTTTTTACTCCAATGTGTTCTGTGCTAAAGCATTGAGAAAGATTTTCATACTGGGCCCTCCAGCTACTTGTGTCATGTGTGGTGACTGATACGCCCAAGTTTGATTGCATTCCAGATTAAAGGAGTTGCTTTTGCCTTCAAGGAGTACAGACAAGCTCTGAGTAAAAGCAGACTGAGACCTTATGTGTCTTCAAATGTATGCCCAGGAGCAGGATAATATAGTCAGCAGGAGTCAAGATGACAGCCAACACTGTGCTCACCATATGGGTTCAGGCTTGCTTTCCCTCTCCTTTGGCATGCAAGATCGAATTGAGTGAGCCTTACCCCAGTACACAATTCAGTGCACAACAGTTCCTCAATAGTCTCAAAAAAATCGCTATTTCCAGAAAACAACCAAAACATCCACAGCTGGGTACTACATAGTTAAAGAACAGGGATTTCACACTACCATATCTGGAATAAAAAAGCCAAAACACAACCCCCCCACTCCACAACTTCTAAAAACCATTAGAAAAAGCAAAAAACTATGGAAAGCACAATTTTGCCTGTCCCTTGCCCTTCTTCCAGTCTCAAATGTGTGGCAGACAAGGAGGGAACTAGGTCACATCCCTTGCTGCATCCCCTGAGCCTCCAAGTTCCTAGTCATGTTTTTTTTTTACTATTGATCTGGTCTCCCTGCCCATCTGCAGCACAGTACCTGCCAGGAGCTCTGGGAAGGACAGCAGCCTGTAATAAAATCTGCCTTGAAATGAGATAAAGAGAAGAGAAAAAGATACTGGCAGGGATCAAAGAGTTTGACCCTCAGAGACTAAGGGGGGAGAGAACTGGCTGACTTTTCAGGCAAGATCTGAGTAAGAAAGTGAAAACGCTTGCTTTCTGCCTTACCTCAGCAAAGCAGAGCTGAAGAGCTCCATTTGTCCCACTACATGACAAAAGTATATGAGCATTTCAGAGCTGGCAGGAGTTACAGGCCTGGGGCTTCAATACTCTACCTTTATTACAGGATAAGTAAAAATTTACTTCACTCTGCATATCTCAGCCCACACGGCTTTCTTGCCTACAAGTATTTTAGCCTCATTTCCAGAGTTTAGGATTCAAAAATCCACTGCAATTTAAATCTCAGGGAGAAAGAAAATATTTATCTAAATCCTATTTTATCTTATAGTTCCCTTCTCTGTCTCCCCATCTGGCCCTTTGTGGTGTTTTGCAGATGCACAGAGAATATTGTCATGTGCCTTTGGGAAGAAGCAAAGGAGAAAACACTCCAGAGACACAGACTCCTATATATCGGTGTGATCACTTAGCTCAGGGCCATGTGCCTAAGTTAGTAAGCTGCCATAACACAAAGGCCTATTCCGAACAAACCCAGGACCATTTCTTCGCTGAACCTCTAGCCTGGGGCACAGGGGCTCAGTGCCAGCTCAGGCATTCAGGAAGGATGCTAACAGTGACACACGTCTGTGCTGTTAAAGTCTGACTTCAAAGTCTGTCAATTGTTTCACCAAACTCAGGAACAGCACCAGCTCAGCAGCATCAATCCTGTTCCAGCTAAGGGCCCTTTATTAAAGGCAACAGGCTCTATTCTTCTGCATACGTAGGTTTGCCTTTCTTACACATGCATCGAAGCAGCTCTCAGGCAGTTTAATGCAGATTATTTTCCCTGAAAGAGAACTAACCAAGTATTAACAGCCAGCACACATGCCAGGGAGTCCATCCAACTGAGAAAACAGGAGCTTCTCTGTCTGCCTCTTTTTTGTGAGACGGCAAGGAAGGAGTCAGAGCCTTCCCCCCTCCCTGCAGTTCACTGGGTCACACAGATCATCCCAGTAATAGGAAACGCAGGATCAAGACAGTGGAAAGCTGTCCCAAAAACGTGCAGAGAAGTACCTGGCACTCCAAAAACTTGGATTTTCTTTGTTATCCTTTAATATTTAATCAGGGCAAGTTACACTTCTTTAACCCAAAATTGAAAGGTGAAATGTGAATGTTTCACTAGTCCGCATCCACTTGTGCTTAAAGCCATTAACCACAAAGTAACAAACCAAAGCAGATTAGAGAGATGCAGGCTGCTAACTCTAATGAAGCTACAAAATGCAGGAGTACTGAGGAAATAAGGGGGACGACGGACATTTTGTTTCAGTTAATTTCACAGACAAGTGAGAAACAATTAGTTAACAGTGAACACCGAGGACATTGAATTACTGCAGCATATTTTAAAAAGCCTGTGGAAGACTGAGGAAAGAGTTGATGGAAACATTTAATGCATGTCTTTGGTGTCAGCAGAAAGAAAACATGCTATTTTCAGCTTCCTTAAACTATATTTCATTTTCTGGAGTTAAGGATCTTCTCCCTTTTATTTCTTCACAACACATGTGCACATATCTGCTCCCCCACCCATCACTAATTCATGTGGAATAGGAGAAATCCTTTTTCCAAAGGGTCTCTGTCCTTGTCAAAACACAACTTTCCACACTCCAACAGGAATACAGAGTTATTTGTTATTGTATGCTTGCACGTGATGCATTACTTCAGGTATTAGGTTGTTGGTATCCATTTCCAATACTTTCTATCAATATTGTTCATAAAAGAGAAAAGTAGAACAAACAAAAAAGTTACAGAGGCTTTTACAATCAGATGCTACAAAAGGGGATGGAAAACATGGGCCAGCCTCTGTGCCTGGAAAAAACGAACAGCATCTCCTCGACAGTTGCTACCCCATGGCACTCTCAGCACTGTACTCACCGCGATCAGGATCTGGAAGGAGCTGTGCATGACCTCGATGTACCGATACTCCAGGGCGCAGCCTATCACAGAGACATAGGAATGGCTATCCAGCCCTTTGATACCAGACATTGAAGCCTCCTTCCTTACACAGCCAGGACCGTTTTCACTCCACCATGACTGGTGCCGGGAGATGTTGAATGTCAAGAGTTCACTGTCCTAGAGAGAAAAGTTGCAGAGAGATCTCCATGTACTATAAAAGTGTTGATTATGCTGTCAGATGGAGGTCATACTAAATCCAAGGAGAACCTGAAGTTTCTGAGATCCCCACCCTTAAGAAATGCTGGCACCAATCAAAGTAAGTTTGCTGTATGTTCCTTATTAAGAAGTATTTTTCACAGGCCGGCTTCTGTGGTGGGAACCATTTCTGAAGCAGTCCTGCAGCACTCCAACAAGCCTATTTCACCAGCATGTACCATATTTTGGAAGCAGGTCTGAGCAGCTTCTACATCAAAAAGAGTTTTCTTGGCTGCAAACCCAAGAACACTTTGTTAGTGGATCCTGCACCCAGAAAAGAACCCTCAAGTTCTGGGTTTGGGAGATTAACCTTGCAAATATAGAAGGTAAACAAGGCAGCACTAAGCATCCTGTCACAGAATCATGTGCTATGGGTATGCCCTTCCCAGCATGGGAATCAACACAGATAACTGAGAAATATGAAATTCATAACCCTAAAGTGGGTTTGCAAAGCCTCTGTTCCTAGCTTTTAACACATTAACTAGTTCCTTCACCGTTTCTGTCTGATCTCCTTCCACACTCTTCACATATGGTGCTTCTGTGTCTTCTGTTGACCTTACTCAGCCCCAGGTCACGTTACCCAGCTGAGCTGACCTCACCTCATGGTGATGATTGCAGCTTCTTGCAAACACTTCCCCAGCAATTCCTTATCATCTCTACCCTGAGAGAGGCTTTTTGTTTTGCCCTTCTCATCTTTACTCGTTCCATGATTTAAACCATGCCATTGTGGAGGTTACATAGTGAAACGCCACACAAGTAGTGCAGGAGTTTGGTGCGTGACCAGGTGCTTGCTTAAGAATGACAACACTTTCCTTACACTTGAAAAAAAAAAAAGTGGTACTTGCTGGAGTACAGGGAGAGCTTTAGGATTTTGAGCTTACAGGACATGGCAAAACCCTCCCTGCAGACAGTAAGGGACAAACTCGGAACCGGCTGACTAGATCAGCCACATCACTTTGCAGATGAGCACTCAGTGCTGGGTGCCCCAGCAGCTCTCTTGGGTCACTTTGATGTGGAATCAACAACCCCTTTTGACCACAAAACAGGGCAGGGGGTTGGAAGTTTTCTTCTGAAGGGTAGATTATAAAATGGATCAGGTAGAGAATCTATGTGTTTCTACAGGGTAGAAATAGATACAGATATACACACCCCATGTCACCATTACTAAAAGTTTTAGCACCTATGCATATAGTACTTCACATTGCTCATGCCAGGGTCCTGCAGAGCCCTTGCAGGAAAGGAGCAGCTCCCAGAACAGCAGCAGTCAGAGCTTGGGGTATTCACACTTCCCAACATGAGGAAACCTCACGTGGCAGCTCCTTTTCCTCAGCTCCCTGTAGAGTCAAGAGGAAAAAACAGATTCAGAGCAGCTAATCCAGGCTCCTGCTCTGAATTACCCTCTGGAGAAAGGACTTGTCTCCACAGCCAATACAGGGAGCCTAGCCAGGCAGTCCTGCAGATACACTTTTCTGTGTCCATGTTTGCATCCAGGGGCAAACTTGAGTTACAAAGGCAGAAAATTTGAGTGCCAGCCAGATAACCTGTGACTAGAAACCAACTGCCACGCTATGCACATTGCGTAGGTACCTTCCACTCCACCACAGATACTCAAAACCAGTTTGCATAGCTGTTATTAAAATATGCTGCAGGAAGCACATGTTAAGAAATGGGGACAATTAAGTGAGCAGGCAGCTGCCAAACTCCTGACATAATCACCACAACAGATGCAGTGTGTTTTACAGTAGACGGAGGAGGGCATGGAGATGAAGTGTGGAACCAGGGCAAAAGCAGCCTGAATAGCAAAGACAATAGGGAAAACTCTATTAACAGTTGGCACTTTAAAGGGAGCTGTCTGCACTTTAAAGGCCGTGGGGAATAATTATTAGATTGGCAGCTACAGGATAATGCACATGGTGCTGTGCTATCTACATTTCTAGACAGTTTTCTCTTCCAGCTTCTCACAATTTTGGCAGAAGAGTCTTTGGCTTGCTCCCTCTGCTGGGCATTGATCTTTAGTGGCCCACAGACATCCCACATATCCACCAAATCACATCTTTTCTGCAAAACTTGTTCTTTCTCTCCCAAGTTTGCATGTTCTGAGACACATGAATCTTCCCCAGCAAAAGCTTTTCCTCCTGGAGACAGCCAGCCCTCCAAGCTGCTGTGCTCTTCTCCCTCTCACAAGCCACTTGGTTAGGGAAGGAAAGAATCATCTTTCTCAAAAAAAAAACAACCCACAATTCTTCTTTCTTTGCCTGGGGCTTCCCCCAATTAGCACAGAAACAAAGCTGTTCCACAGGGCACCACAGCATCTACTCTTAACCTCGGTCCCCAAGGCTCCCAGATGGTGCCTTCCCAAACCTTCTGCCTCACTGATGCAAAAAGCCCCTTCAGTGCCTTCTCTTCTCTATGTGTATTTGGCAAAGTAAGAAACAGGCTGCTTTCTTCTTGAATCTCCCTTTTTTCAGTCCTTATAGAATTGACTCTGGTGTAACTTGGCTGCAGAAGCTGAACTTGCCTGGAGTTATGCCTGAAAAAGCAGAACAGGTGCTGGGCTGGAGGTAGGCAGGTGGAGGAACAGTAGGTCCTAACCAGCACTCAGTGCTTTGTGCCTACAATCATGCTCCAGCTCTGTGAAAAAAAAATTTAAAAATCATACTTCAGTTAAGAACAGATTGGAAAACCTAAGGACATTTGGATTCTAAAAGCACCACAACCACTCTCACACGAGCCATCCATCTCACAGATGTAAAATGAATACTGATTGCACACTGGGATTGCGGATGCCCTTGCATCCGCAGAGACACCTTTCTGAAAAAACATCTGTCTGGAGCACTGCAGGGCACGAGGGCAGCATGAATGAAAGGGTCTCAACATCCAAAGCAATGCCGTTCCTTTGCTTGTGTCCCTGCTGGCTGGCCTCAGAGGATACCTGCGCTGATGGGGCACAATAAAAGAGGATTCAAGAAAAATCATTTAGTTGACCTCCAGTTGCTCAGTGCTTGCTGGGAGACTGGGGGAAAAAAATCCCAAGATGTCTTGTGCGGTTTGCCAGCTCCATTTGCAAGGGGAGGGTTGAAAAGAAATGAAACTGTGAAATAAGAACAGCACACTAAAATCAGGAGGAAAAAAAACAGTCACAAGAAAGTTCAGGAAACCGTTGTTTCCTAAAACCTTTCTGTTGGACACTGAAGTTTAAATGCACTGAAATACTCCCAGAAGTGGTATGCAGGTTGGAAGATGCTCATCAGTCCCAGAAGTGAGCAAGCCCTGCAGTTGGGAGAGTGATCTGCGTGTAACCACACTCCCCCTCGTTTCTTGACAGGCTGCGACTTGAAGGGCTATCGCTTCCTCTGTAACCTTTAGCCTGAAGGGAAACACGAGCCAAGAGTGATACAAGCTCCTTCTCAGGAGCTCACTGAAGGCCATCCAAATAAAAAAATAAATCACATGTCACTCTGAACGGTTGTAGCACCTGGTTGCCATCCATTTGCCATGAGCATGAGAAGACAGACACCAGCACTAGAACTGTAGTACCTACATGTTACAGGGTCTATTTCCCACTCCCAGCCTCACCCCACTGTGTCCCACAGGGAAAAACTCACACCTACCTCTGACACCACAGAGCCAGCTGTGTTCCCTTTCTAAAATAGTTTTCTGAAAGCTGTTCTGAAATTATTTTCTAAGGGACGCCATCAGAGATGGTTTTATTTTTTGTTGTTAACAGCCTCCTGAACGACCTCCCCCCAAATTTCCTTAATTTTCAGGCAAGCCAGCAGTATAATGGCTCTGGAAACAAATTGAACCGTATATGGGAGCCCCCAGAGCTTGAGAGCAGAATAATTTTAAATCTTTTCAGTTGGAAACATTTCTTATCAAAATAGGAAATATAATGTTTATCTTTTAGTCCTGTGTGCTGAATAGCTGCATCACCCTGAGACAACAGAGAAGCACTTTCATTGTTTCTCAGCAGGCTTGTTGACAATGCCACAGCATTTAAAGGCCAAATCCCAGGCTTCCAGTTTCTAAATTTAGATGGAGTTGAGGGACAGTTGTAATTACACATGCATTTATCTTCACAGTATTTTTTTCCAGGTACAAAGCCATCCCAAGATGCCGTCCAGATTCTCTGGAATATAACTAATCCCCCATCTGACTAATAATGGCTGCTTCCATTATAAGAGGAGATTTAGACCACCACCACAGCTCTGGATTCAGATCAAAGCACTGGGTAGACAAGAAAGAATATAAAGGAAGGGTAAAATAAAATTCACCATTCCAAGATGGGTAATTCCAGAGGGAAAAGACAAAGGAATACATTGAAATACAGAACACCGATTCTTCAAACCTCTCTGAATGTTTCTCAAGTACATGATGAAGAGTCAATCAGCACGGCAGCTGGACAGACAGATGCTTGTATGTCTTAACAGCAGGATTTTAATAATTAACTCAGACTGAGGGGTTGCAGGAGGGACTGTGTTTCACACTCGAGTAGACAGGGAGAAGCTTAACATGTTATTTCAAGCACAGCCTAGAAACTTCAGAGATAGCTCCCAACAATTCACCTAACCAAATGGCCAGATGGACAAATAGAAAAATAAGGAGATGGAACAGGAACAGACCCAAGGAGGAGGAACAGCAATCTGGAAATTCAGCTTGAGCCCCACCAGAGCAGGGGTACAGCACTTTCGGAGAGGCTGCATTTCCCCCAGATGCTGCAAGCGTGCTCAGAACTGCGAGCGGAGCAAGTCAGCGAGGCAACGCTGCCAAAAGCCGCTCAGAGGCACATCACCATCTCACCGCCAGCACTGAGAAGCAACCCTTCAAATCCAGATTGCTGTTTCTCTTGCCTGCTCATTGGCAAAGCACTTCAGGAAAGCTGGCATAGGCTACGTGCTTAGGGAGGCCCTTGCAGCAACAAGGGAAGTGCTTTCTTAGACACTTATGCTGATCCATTTGTGTCTGGCCACCTAATGAAGTTCTGCTGTGCTGCATTTCACACTCTTAAGCCTACTAAGAAAAGACTGCAAGGATAAAAAAATGTGACAGGATAGAAATATAGAAGTCAGGCCAGTTTATCTCTTCCAAGAAGTAGAGAATAGATTCACAGAGCAGGAAAGAGCATTTTCTGTTTCAATAAAAATAACACAGGGTAGTTATAACTAGTGGTTAGGAGGTAGATGGTTAGCAAGTAGCTATAACGACCCTGAGCAGGACTGGCCAGAACAGCCGTTCTCAAGGTTTCCCTGGTCAGATGACAGCAAGCACTGCTGCAGGAACCTGGAGGACAAGGAGCACGTCAGGAAATGCTGGTGAAAAACAGGAGGAAAGAAAGAGAGAGAAGTGGTGGGCAGACAACCCAAAGGTGGAAAGAGGCAGTGGAGGAGCCATTGCTTGGTGAAGGAAGGTGAACAACCAGCCCCCAAATCGCAGTTCAGCACCACGCGCCTACCAGCCCACGTTCTACTGACGACAGAGTTTATAACAGGGAGGTAGTCTCTTAAGCCCGTTGCCGAATTGCTTATGGGCTGACATGGGACCAGAGCCGTGGTGCCTCTGGCATCTGTTTATTAAATCAGCCAGGCACCCAAAGCAAGGGGGGCACAAGAACAAGCATCCGTGCTCCCCTCAGCCCTGTAATGCACAGCACTTCCCCGCTCACATCCTGTACCACTGTGAAATCAGATCCAGGCACCAGAGCACAAAGAATTATTTGCAATAAGTGCACATAACCATTTCCTCATTTTTCCAGTTCTCCAGGCTTTTCCTAAACTTGTTACAGCAGAAACACTTGGATCCTTTCCCTCCTTTCTCACCCCACCTGGGTTATCACCTGCCTCAGTTGCACTGGGCTGTCACTACCAGCCGCCAAGTTAACAAACTCCATTCTTTCCAGCTGACTGCCCTTTCTGCATTTTGTCATTATAAATCAGCTAGCTGCTGACAGAGATCTCCCTGGCAGGCTGCCCTTGTCAGGAATACAGAGGGGTGAGCGCAGGGCTGGCAGGAACGCTCAGCAGGAATCATGGAGGAAACAGCACCTGGAGACCTTCCTCAGAGCTATCAGCCCCTTAAGGGACTTGCACAGGAGCACAGTCCTGTCCGAAACGCTCCCCGGCATATTCAAGCTTAGTCTAGTAGTTAATGAGTTAGTGTTTACCTGACCAGCCCCATCAGCCTTGCTCCACCAAAGCTCTCTTTCTAAGCAGTCTACCTGCTGACTGCCAGGCTAATTACACACTTTGACTTCTTATTAGGAACTAAAGGACAGCTTCCTCCCCAGGGCCCCGAGGGCACACCGAGGTACCTGCTCCTCGGCAGCACCGCTGGCTGATGCTGCCCTGCCTTTACCCCCTCCAAGAGCTTGTCCAACGCTTGCTCATCCAAGCCCAGCTGTCCTTCTGGGGTCTGATCCCAAGACTACAGAGATCAATAAGACTCTGCAGATGTCAGCTGGCTTTGGATCAGGTTTCTGGAGATGCAGTGGGAAAGCAACACTGCTCTTGAGTCCAGCCTGCAAAGCACCACACCATCCTACAGAAACCTTAATTCCTGTTTCAAGTGTATCTTTAGTTCTCACGTGGAAGTGAGGGGTTTGTTTTGCCATTACAAAGACCCAGGTAACTTCAGTTAAAAGGGAGAAGGAGGAAAGAAAGTAGCATCGAGGTTTTTTTCCTTACAAGACAGCCTTTTCCAACAAAAATAACTCATTAAGAGCAGAGGCAAGGCTGTAAAGGATTTTGCCACCAAACAACCACAAATACTCTGTTATTTTTACCAGTTGCTGCCAAACCAACAGTGTTAAATTCTCATTGCAGCAGTAGAGCAAAGTCCACTGAGTTGACAACAACTTATACTGCAACCCCATTCTATAAAAAATGAAAAAGTCCCCAATCACAACCGTCATCCTGTAGGCTAAATAAAGGTTCTCTGTGTGCTGGCTTCTGCTAAAATGAGGCACAGCACACAGCAAGGTTATGAGATGAAGCTCCTCTGTAGTGGAGACAGTGGAGTTTGCCACGCTGTTTGAATTGCAGAACAGCGACCCGACGTGTTGCAGGGCAGGTTGGGATTAGTAAACACAAGTCATCAGCTGGCTGGAAGCAAACACCGGCTGTCAGAGAAGCTCCCAGAACAGTTTATCAAGCCAATATTTCCTCCACAGAGGGGAGCATTTAAATAGATACATAAAATTCTTTTTTAGCCGGTCACAGCCAGCACCGAGATCATCTCGGGCTGAGCTTTCACACCATGAGTAATCATTGTTTTGGGAAAGAACTCTCTCAAAGTTTCTGTGGATAATTGAGAGGGGAAATGGAGATTAATTGAGGAATTAGGAAGTTACATTTTCTTATCTGCAAAGGATTTATGCTGTCACTCATGACTTGCTGTAGGCCTGATAAGAAAACATAGTGCAGTTCCAATTATGACTGCAACTTAGATGTATGACCTGGGAATTTAGTCCAGATGTAGAGTGCTCTGAAATGAACCTGTATCCTATAATCGCTCTGAGTCTGCTAAGCTACAGCAACACTTAGTAATTCATTGCTTACAGCTCAGGCCTAATTTAGGGCCTGCCTCCCATTTTTATTATTTCTGACTCACCCCTCATTAAGCAGACAGCAATACTTAGCTTATCTAGCCTTCAAACAGCTTGGCATATTAACTCACAACACCCCTGGCCAAGAGCCATGAATAACTACCCCTGTATTTAAGAAAGAAGAATTAAGACAGGGAAGCCACATCACCTCTGAGGCTGCATCCAGAGGAGATGCACCAGCCTCCCCAGCATCCCTCTGGGTTGTTCTCTGTTCAGCAGAGAGAGGAGCCTCTCCCAAAAGGTCCAACGGGAAACATTTCACCTGGTGCGGCCACAACCAGATACCTACCCCTACTGCAGAAGGGCATTAGGTCTTCAGAAGGACCAGGAGGCAAAGAGACATCAAGAGCTGGTCAGGTATGGAGTTACAGCAAAGTCCTTGGTCCAAGTGAGCCCAGCCAGTCTGAGCCCCTGCTGCAGCTCTTCCCTGGGACAGGCTGGCAGAGAGAGCACCCTCACTGCTCAGGAGAGCCCTCCTCTCCAACCCACGCACCTTCTTCCCAAGGTCTTATCAGATCACAAGAGGATCAGCTGTAATCTAGTTGGCTCATAGCCTTCCTCAGCCACCTCCTCCACACCTGGGAATTAGCTCTCAAACCCATCTCAGGCTGGCTCTGCTGCCCAGCTTGCTCTCACCCTTAGAAAGCAAATACACTCTACCTGCTGTGAGAGCAGGGTTTATTCCAGCCACCACCTGCACCAACCAGCAAAGGGCTCCAGAAATCAGTATTAGCTCCCCACTTTTACCATACAACAAGCAGTAGTCCTCTATCCCTTAGTAAGGCAGCCCTGACCATAGGCAAGGGGGCAGGACCTGCTCCCAGACAGCCCCCTACCTGTCCCACAGCTAAGCTCCATCCCCTTGGACACAAAGCCTGGGCACTCACCCACAAATCTCCCACTCACCTTTGAGAGCCCTCCCACTTCTAAGTAAAAGCAGATGATGAAGATGTTCCAGGTGACCCAAATTGCAGTCCAGATGGCATACTAGAAAGGAATGGGGGGGAGAGAAGCAATAATCATTAAGTCGTCACTGGAATTACTTTATATATATGTGATCCAGCTGGGGGCAGTTAAACGCCCTGAGTCAGCACTGCAATCGGTGTCTCTTCCTCTGTTTGCTTCCCACATGCAGATGGTCCCTTGCCTGATTAGAGACACAGGGGCAGGAGCTGGGAGGGAGGAAGAGCTTCTGCCATGCCTTTGTCCAGCATCTAGTTCTCCCTGTCTGTTGTGCAGTATCTCAGTGTTACTTTGGTACCAGTAATAATTATCTGACATCTTCCAAGTTCGGAGTAAGTACCGTAAAAGTGCAGCGCACAGAACAAAGTGTTCCTAAGCACAGCACCTCCTGCTAAAATTGTTTACAATGCTTGTGCCTGATTTCCCAAGGGCTTTACTCAGTTCCTCATCGCTTGCCATATCCCACCAGAGCAAAGGCTGTGAAAGGCTTTGTACAGCTCTGAACAAAACGGCTGTTACTTACCACCACTATGTAGCGAGGTCTATATTGAATAGTGCCAAACAGGCCGAGGATAACGATGATGATGTGGAGGAAGTTGGCTAGGATAGGGGCCCACTGGTATCCCAGGAAATCGAACACTTGCCTCTCTAATGCCGCAAGCTGGAAGGGAAAAGGAAAAGGAGAGTTACAGCTTCTGGGCTCATGATGTTTATTCTCAAGGTTTTGACATGCTCCCTGAGCAAATCACTGCAGCAGCTGAAGATGTTACTCCATTCCCAAAGCAATTTACTCCCTGTGAACCAGGTCAGTAGGACAGAACATGTGTCTACGTGCCCCCCCTCCACTTTGTACGCATCCCATCTCCTCCGACAGCTAAGCCAACGCAGACCAGTGAGCTCCAGTGCCTGTGTGGGGGCACGTCCTCAGTTCTGTGCGCTTTGCAATGGGGAGGTGGCCCTGGCAGAGGGCAGAGGCGAGCAGCGGGAAGGTAACACCTTCAATGGCTGCAGCAGGACTTGCAAAAGCTCATTTGTCAGAGCCTTCAGTACCACTCCATCATTCCTGACACCTCTCGTGTTTCTGCTCTCCAGCACACATCCATCAAAGTGAGAGAGGAGGAAACTATCTCCTCCACCTTCGCCCCACAGAAAATGCTGCCACCCAGCAAAGAAATTCTGCAAACACATTGGTTTTCCAGGACAGGCTGTGTTCCTCTCCCACACTAATAACATGGTTCAAGGCTAGTACTATGTTCTAGAAATAAAACGCCATTACTGTTGAAGTTCTGGGCCTGATTTTCAAATCATATTTGCATAAAGATGTGCCTTTCATCTGTAGCCATCGTCTGTGTATCAGCAGCAACTGGTCACCTGGATCTGAACTGCTGTGTTACACACGCAGCTGAAAGAGCACAATAAACATGCAATTACGTGTTAGCCTTTACATCCCCACAGCCTTTAAATACTATGTCTGTAGGAGAAACAGTGAGTGGAGGGAGCAAAATGGTTCCTGCAGGTTTTTCCCCAGTGCCCAGCCTCATGCAGAAATCTTCTCTCTGCTTGTCTTCACTAAGGCAGTGCAACCGACCTCCTCCCATTGACCAGCGACGCCACTCGTGCTACGGCACAGCACATTTCCCCGTTAAGATTTCAAAGCCTGTTTAATTATCATAGTAGTATGCGAGGATTGCATTATTGCATTTCATATTTATTTACTCTTAACAAATAATGACAATTTACCATTGATAGTTAATATTAATTTTACTACTGATGAGACATTTACCATGGATGATCCTGCTCCACTATGTGACATCTTTTCCTGGCTTGGCTTTTAAATGGCAGCTGGGGACCAAGCACTGGAGCTTCTGTAATGGCTTAAAGCATTTAAGGACGTGAGCGGTTGTGGGTCCCCATCAAGCCACACGATGAGGGAAGCCACATCTATTAAATGACCATTATTCCTGCATCAGTGGGGAAATCACCCTCACACCTCTCTTGGGCTAGGAAGGTATTGCAGTTCTCAACAGTAGCTTGGAAGTTCAACAAAAATCTGTATTTCAAAGAAATCTATAGCAGCCCTGGTTAAGGGTGGTCAGTCAGGGTGGTGGTAAGCAGCTCTCCCTCTCTGACCTCTCTCTTCACTGGCAAAGCGGGGCAGAGAGAGTGGGGAGGGAATGGAGGCAGTCTTCAAATCTGTCTCTTCTGCCAAATAATTAGTCTTCCCTTTGAAGCAACACGCACTGCCCTGTTCTGATCCATTTGAACCACCTGGAAGATGCTGTGAGATGTGATGTATGGCCACGCACAGGGCTCCGGGGCTGGAACAGGGCAAATGCTGCTCATTTCACCGTTCAGCCTGCTCCCCCCACCCCCCGAGCACAGCGGATTTTCTGTATCTCATCAGAAACAGCAGTAATAGGTTAACCGCTTAATCTTTTAGGAGAGGATTAACGCACATACCTTAATGATATTTGGAAATTTTGAATCCTGACTGGCTGGCAATGGGTCACTTGACTGTGACCGCTTCATCCAATCAGGCATTTAATTGGCTTTGTGTGTTATATTAGCGCGGGAGTATGTGCTGCACAGAGCATCAATTAGTCGAGGGGACACAATGGGGGTGTGTTCTGCAGAGATAACGCCCTGCTCAGCTTTGCCTCTTGCCTTTAGGCCCTAAACAGGGGGATAAAGACACATCCTTCCTACCTATGCCTTCTGCCAGGAGTTTTCCCACTCCAGAATCAGGGCATCCATGTCTGGAAAAGTGTTTTCTTCTCACAAATGAACATTTGCCATTAGGGCTGTATGGCAAGGGGAAAGCTTGTCCTTCCACAGCTTCGTGATGTTTCCTGGCTGGTTTGGACCAGGGCAGACATTTGTCTGTGAAGTGAGAGGTACCAAGCCGTCCTGGAGATGGACCTGCCAATCTACGCTGACCTCAGACTGGGGCACAGCTCCTGGAGAGGTCTCTGGTCCCTGACCACGCTGGATTTTTCCCGTGATCCCAGAAGTTAGCTTCATGTCATACTTCCCTCTTCCTTACTGCAATTGCCCTTGTCTCCAGGTTGTTTCTGTTCTGATTTACGTTCTTTTGCCACTTTCTCTGCATTTGTTTATGGTTTTGTGTCCCTGGGAGCTGCAGGCGTGACTCAGCTGGTACAGACATCAGCTGTGCCTGTCCACTGGTTCCGCTAAGAGGAGCGGGAGCTGGGTCGGTACGCCTTTGTGTGATGTGCGAGCTCAGGCAAGCTGTTTCCTCATTTATAAAAATAAAAGCAATTTTCTGTAAGATGTGTGTTGATGCCAAGCACAAATGCTACTGTTGAAAGTCGAACACTGTGTTACTGACACGCAGGTGGTGAGTCCGTGCTGCAATCCAGCCATCAGAAATGTAGCCTGAAGTTACGGTGGACTTGTCCCCATTCCCCCAGGAACCTAGCATAATTAAGGAAATATTTGCTAAAAACAAATAGATAAACAACCATTTCACTCATTACGCTGCAGGTCTGTGTGCAAAGCTTAGTCATTAAATGCTGTTGAGATCTGCAGATAAGCAGGGCTGATGTTTGGGGTTGGGATGTGAAGAATGTCGTGGTACCCTTCAGTCCTGGTTCCTTCAGCCTGGCTCAGAAATGGCAGGGCCAGGGCTTGTCCCTGCCTGCGGGTACTGATACATCTGCACCCTCGTACTGAGCCTGGATCCCTCTTGTTGAGCAGGGGAAATGCCATCTTTCTCTGCTGCTGCCAAGTTTCTGCAGAGTAATATCCTTGCTGTAGTGTTCTTTACGATGATTCACACTACTCTATTGAGAAAGCCTATTATATTCTAGAGATATTGGTTGTAAAGAGAAATTTCACAGATTGTGGCACAGGTTTCAACCCATTCAAAGCTGACAGGACCTTTCCATCAGGGAGGACAAATTTTTCTTCTTTATGACTATTCTTATTAAAACCAGTATTCCTTCTGCTCCTTTTGCTTCCCTACCCATAGAACATTTTTACCTTTCATTCTTTAAATTAAATGATTTGTTGCAGTACTAAAATCAGAATAGTCGTGGCAGACTTTTCTCTCCTGAAATAAACCACATTTCTGCTGATCTGAGTGAAACTGGAATAGCAAATAACCATGTGAAGCAATTGTTAGCCAGGCAAACAAAACAAGCCAGAGCTCTCTGTTGGGCCATCGTTCATTTATACAGCTGGGAAAGATAAGAAAGGCAGAGAAGATGTTCTGCAGTTTACAGAGTCCTATCACATAGCTCACACACAGTGAGCAAAGAAGGGCTTTGTAAGCCAACACGACGGGACATGCTCAAGGTCTTTACACCAGTAAAACTTCACCAGAGAGGGAAGCTGTACCTGAGCTGGAGGGGAGCGTTGCCTGATGGAGCCCATTGCAGAATAGGAAAATGGTCTTAGAAAACATCTCAAAATGTGGAACAGTTCCTTGTTGGGTGGCTCAAACCATTCCAGTTGCATTTCCCATGGCTCTGGCAAGACAGTGTCACTGGCAGATGTTGATGCCAGCAGAACACTCCGAACTGATTCAACATGGGCTGGGGGGTGCTTGTTTAAATTCTGGTCCCTCGATTTTTTTCTATCCCCTCATCTTTCTCTTCTGTTGCTCCTGTCATGCTGATAAGCTGGAGAGTTCATCCTGTTCCCCTTGTGCCTCCGTACTGCTAAGGAAGAAGGGATGCTGATGAACAAGCCAGTTACCTGTAACTCTTTAACTCCCTGTCCTTTATAGCCTGCTATCAAGGTCATGTTATCAGCTAGATTTTCTCTTCTTAGTTTATTAAGCTTTTAAAGCCCTTTAATCTTACTTGGTTTGGATCTGTGTCTTTCACTGCATTTCCGATATCAATTGGGACACAAGGTAACAAATATCACTTCCAAGATGTTGACATGACTCGTACAGATGCAGGAACGATGCTCGGAAAGCCCAATGACAGGCACAGGTATGCAAAGAGGATGTCCTGCCTACACACACACATCCATATGTATCTGTTCCTGCAAGCAAACCTGCTTTTACACTTTCCAAATTCAGCTTTAATAAGAAATTTCTTTTTAAAATTAAATGTTAGAAATAATTTTACAAGCATGCAATAAATGAAACAAATGGGAAAGGCTGATCCTACTGCTATGGGCCAGCCAGGACCTAAGGAAGCTATTCCTGCAAAAAAAACCCAAAACCCAAAAACCAGTTTTACCCAGAAACCTAGACAATTTTTCACTTGGCCTATAAAAAAGCAACTTGAAAACTCTTTTGCTACTCCTTGCCTTTCACTGCCAGAAGGACACATAGCCTCACAGCCTGCCCCAACTCCTGCACTGCCCTTGGTCAGTGGCGTACACAGCTGCCTCGGACCCCTGCGTGCGTATCTACAGCTTCAACACAGATAAAATTTGCAACTTAAACCCCTGTATTTACTTTCTCTCTAGTTTGAACTGAGAAAGAGCCTCAGCTGCAGCCCTCGGTCACCACCGCGCTCCTGTGATGTTCCGAGCTGCCTGGCTGATCCCCGACGCGTTGATTCAGCATTTGATTTCCTGCCAGCTGGCTTTGCTTTTTAAGAAGATGCTCTTTGTTTGTCTACTGTGCAAACACCATCGGAGCAGCCAAGACTTTCACTGAAAAAGGTCATGGGTCTTTTCTTGAAGAAAAACTTGCATTGATTTCCTGAGGAATTTTGGCTATGTAATGGTTGACGGCTTGAGTTCAGGACAAAGTCACAGTACTGCTATCCCTATGACACGTCATGTAAGGATGAAAATTTAAGTACAGCTAGCTGCAACAGCAGGAAGAAATTAAGAAGTCTCAAATGTATAATTTAAAAATATATATCTATTTAGATTTTGAACACAAATATCTTTATTTTTGGTTTTTTCAGTTTTAAGTTTGGCAATACTAAGCATCTGTCTGCTGTATTATTATTATTGGTATTGGTATTATTTGTATTATTGGTATTATTATGATATATTATATTATTATACATAGTCTTTCTATACAATTGCTTTGTGTTTGTAAATGGTGAAACAATACTAGATCTAAAGAATCTTAAACCAAGCTGCAGTGTGATAAAACTACCAGTGGTGAGCAGAAAATTCCCTTCTGTGCCAGTGCTTATTCAAGGTGGAGATTTTGTGGGCAGAAAAATTATTAAACAATAAGACGGTTTTTACCACAGTGACTGCATTTCTAAATAAATATTAGTGGTCGTAATAGCTCTTTAACTGAGTTTATCTGAAAAAGCAGTTCAGTGAGCCACTACTTCACATCCCCCTAACCGAGGGGCTCGTTCTGCTAGGTGCCACGTCCTTGTCTCTTCTAAAGCCAGCATCTCACGTGCTAATACCCACTACATTCATGAAATCTCATTTTTCTTCAGTAAGTGTTGTCAAGGAAACCTTCCTCGGGGCCTTGTGATCCACAGCTCCTTTGCCAGCATCCCGCGCTGACCCACAGAGGTCAAGAGACTAATTGCTCAGGAGGTCTCTGTTTGTCATTGTCTCTCAGACATCTTTGGTCACTCTGGCAAAGGGATACAATAAGCCCCATTCGCTGCTCGGTTTGGTCCCTTTCCTCCCCAGGAGCTGCTTAAACCCCTTCTGTTCACACAGACGTTATAGAGGCCTCCAACAGCAGACCTTATATCTTTAAATCATTTATGTTTCAGAAGCAAACCGGTCACTGCGATGGCCCGGAAGACCAATGCCTGCCAAAGGCCCCCTCGAGGCAGCTGGAGAAGTCCCCATCGCTGGTGCGAGCCGCACACCACAGCGCTGCCCTGCAGCCGGGGCTGGCCGCTCCTGGGGCGTTATGCTCCAGCAAACACAGCCTTCGGACGGCACCGTGCACAGAGCAGGACTTCTCCCACCCCAGTACCATTCCGCACAGAGCCAGGGCAGAATTAACCCCTCGGTGGGGTTCAGCACAACTTCCCTGCTGAAGCCCGGAGCATCCTGCTGTTAAACAGCGCGGCTTCGAGTCCTCGCCTCCTCCTTCCCCCCTGGCCTGGCACCTTTGTGCTCTGGATTCTCCCCTCCCTGCATCATTCTGAGTGCTGGCAACGATGCTCTCAGGAGTGCCGCTGCTTTGACCTTGATCCCTATGCTTTCTGCTGCCGATGCCTTTCAGAAATATCCTAGCTGCAAAGATATGTCGTTATTCAGTCCCACATGCCCAAATGCTGTTTAGCATTCCAGAAAAGGCGCGATCCTTGCTGAACATAAGGGATGAGACTGGCACTGTAGCGGTGCAGAAGCCTGTTTGTTTGTGCCTGGAGTTGAGGCTCCGACATCAGAAGGACTGAGGTTTCCTGGTACATCATGTATAGTCACCAGCTTTGCTCAGCTGAGACACGGGCTACGCACAAGCATTCACGCACACAAACCTCTTATACCGTTTTTCTCCAAGTGCTGAGTTGGGCCACGTAGTGGGCAAAACAGCAGGGACATGCAAAGGGAGAGGGAAGGCGCTGGGGTGTAAGGCAGTAGCTGGCAGTACTTCTTTCAGCAAGACTCTG